TCTCAGTGTCTGACTCTTTGCTTTGGATATTTGACACTAAAATCATAGCCATGTTGTCAGCTAGTGGCAAGGTAGCCTCATTGAATTGAAAGGGATATTTGCCAACTGACAGCAGTTAAAAAGAGAGACTCGTATTTAAAAAAAATTTAAAAAAAAAAAAGATAATATTGTGAAGACAGAAGAGTAACGTAACTAGATTAGAGGTTCTCAGACTGTGTCTTGTGATCACTTGCTAAAGGGTCTTGGAAGGCTCTGCATTAGTTTTGCATGGCCTTGACTTCCAGTGAATAAATATATCTAATGCTTCCCTAAAATCTACATTTCAGTGTAAGCACTACAAAGACAGATCCTCTTCAGTCCCCCTGAGCTAACCAGCAAAAGTATTTGCAAAAGAAAATTGTGTCTCACAAATCTCCTATAATTCCTGTGACATGTCAGTAGAGCTAGTGGATGAAGTTGAGTCAGCTAAAATAATTTTCAAAAGGTATTTGACAGGGGCCTTTATGAGGTGCCACAAATATTTCTTAAATCATCATGTGTAGAGAGACAAAACATTATGAATCAAAAATCAGCTAGGTGAGCACAAGCAGAGAGGAAGATTAAGCAGTTTGTTTTCTTCATGACCCAATGATAAGTTCTAGTTTTGGCACCGAATGAACAGCAAGATTATTCATGTGGTGAGACTTTAAATCTAGATGATACCCACCTCCCTACTTGTTATTAATTATGATTTTTCTAAATCAGTTCAACCATTCCCGGTATCATATGCCACACAGAAAGACCAATGACACTAGGTAAATAGCATTGCCTTAAACCTAGAGTGAATACTATTATTTACCTCTGCATGGTACTTTTCCTGAAAAATTATCAACAAGCCAGGGTTAAAAGCTCCAACAAAACACTGCCAAGCAGTCGTTAATCCCCAAGAAATGTCTGGTTCCTTAATTGTTGCTGCAGAAACTGAAACTGGACCAAGGATATGCAATACTATAGATTTCTTTATTTGTAGGTTTTCCCTTCAGTGAGAAGAAAAGCCAAGTTGGCATGTTGAGTAAGATTAACTAGGCTTGGACCTTTATAGCTTGTAAAACTGGACATTTATGTATGACTGCTGAAAACTGATTTACTACAGGTACAGAGGAGTAGAGCTGCAGGGTTGTAGAGTTACAGTATGCGTGTGAATGAGATGTGTCATCACCACCAGCACCACAAAGATGCCAGTGCAAAACAACATTGCTGCAACTCTCACAAGGAGAAATGTGTGTTACAAAAAAAAAAGAGAATCTCTGAGCTGCTCCTCAGACTTGGGCATCTGGCTGCAGGAGGAGGAGGGCAGTCATTGTCATCTCAAACAAGCTGTCTTCCAGTTGGGCAGGACATATCATTATCCACATATATATTTTAAGCAGCACACCACCACAGCTTCCATCTTTGATCTAGAAGTCTTTGTTTTCCCCACTTCTGGACCCCAAATATTTTCTCAATACTTTCTTTAGTTGACAGTGTTCAGGCTTTAGGATTAAGTTAATCAAGTTTGAAGAAGACTATAAATTGGTTTTAAATTGGACTATTATCTTGTAGTAGCTGGAACATTTTCTGGTGCCAGGTGTTTCTGACTTACTTGTTGTTTGATTTCTGCTAAAAAAGACCCTGTTTTTTTCTCTTTATAATTTCAAAAACCTTTTGTGTCAATCAATGGTCTAACAACAATTTGAAGGTGCTAAGGCTCTTAAATACATTTAAATTTTCATCAGTCCTTTTCAAACCATTTTTAGTCCAGTGGGTGCTTTATGGCAGTACTGCCAATCCTAAACTCCAAAAACAGGCAATTTTTATGAGAAAACAAGATGTGCATGAAAGTTCATTTTACAATAAAAGTTGAGTCTTTTCTTTAGTTAGTTAAATAGTTGCCATTTAGGCTTGCATTTTCAGACATTTCACACCATGTACCAAAAAAAAGATCTCAGTATAATCATATGTCCCTACTAGCGTTTTGAATCTGTTTCAAATATCTTCAGATATAGTCTAAAATCCTGAGACTTGGCACACTTAAACATATTCTGGATTTGTTTCTGCTTGATCTTGCAAAGTGTTGACATTTTCTGGACACCTAAATCCTTTCTCCTGATTTTTGAGGCTCTGTTCCTGGCAGCCAGAAGGAGACTCTGCACATAGTTTAATGTTTGTATTTTCAAAAAAATATTATACTACATTTAAATCTTACCACTCCTTAGTGCTGACAGCCTGTTGTTTGGGACATTTTTCATTGTAGCTTTCTGATTATTTTTTCCTAATTTTATTTAATTTTATAGTTGTCTGAATTTCAAATGACAGAGATAAATAAGCAATATAATCACAACTCAATGTATTATTATAGTAAATTCACATTCAGATATTCATTATAATGGCAATTATTAACCCTGGCAGATATCAGTAGTCTTACTAAATCTTTGTGTCAGAAAGGGTTACATCAAATTTAAATTATGTAGAAGACTTTATTATATACCACAACTGAAAGTGAAAAAAGGAGAAGAGAAACTAGTTGGGGAAAAAAAAAAAAAAAAAAGACCATTAAGGCTATTTTTCATTGAAGTGTGAGTGAGAAATAATGTTGGAGAAAAGAAGAAATGAAAGATTTTGACATGTCAAAAAAAAAGGTCACCCTTATTTTTAATCAACCCTCTGGTCCTTTCCCTGGATGAAGGCATCACTGTCAGACGTGGGCAGGCAAGGTGGGAGGAAAGAGCTCTGCTGCCGTAACAGATTGGCTCGTGCTGGCACAGAGCAGACTCCTCAGGAGACGTCTCCCTGAAGGTGACACTGGGGTCACCAATTGTATAACCTGGAAGAACTGCATCTTGAGCAAATGGCAATCACAAGCACTGAATAGAATATTTCACAAGTAGCATAACTTTAGGTCAAAGCCACCAGACGCTCCCAGTCTGGCTGCCCTCATTCTTCAGTTGACAGAGATAACATAAAGCATTGCCCTTTGGAAGAAAGGGACACTTAGTCATTCCCATGTGTTCTTTTGGGTTCAGCACCTCAACTTGCAGGGAAAAACACTTTGGTTGGGAACACGGTTTTAGCAGTGGAAACACCTCTAGTCTATGTAAGCAACATCACATTTCCTACAAAATAAATGGTCCTCTGAGGGAAAAGCAAGAAAGGCAGGTGTGAAAGTGGTACTTTTTTAGGTAACACACTTAGGGTTAAATATCCACATTGCAATGTTTCCACATTGCATTTTTGTCAATCTATAGTCATACACCTTTACTGTTGGAATATTCCTTAATACATAATTCCTTAATCTTTTGCAAATAGTAGCATGTGTGCCAGATACTTGAGGCAAACAGCAATCTGATTGCCTATGTTTTTTGCTGCCTGAGTTTTAAGAAGTTACTGTGTATTAAAAATTGCTATATACTGTTATTGCTGGCACTTATCAGATAAGGAAGTCATAAGATGAATGATCTGCCTCAAAGAAGTGAAAAGCAAAGCAATTCTGATACTGAAACTGCAAACCAGATGATGCTCTGATTAGAGGCATGCACATAGATTACAGAAGTACAATAAATCATGTAACTTTTTAGCCCCAAATAAAATAAAAGAATGCAATTTTTATTAGGAAATAAACTGTTTATCAAGAATGCTTTAAAGGTGACATTTATTGCTAATAAACTGTGTTGAAAGGGCTGGTCCTTTCATTGGCACAACAGCTGGCGTCTTTCCACTATGTAAAAAATGCAGCAACTCAGTCCGTGCCGGGTCAGGAAGCAGTTCTGTCAGCACTAATGAGAAATGGGCAAGAGACTCACACACACTTTTTTTCAAACAGGAACATTTCTCTTTAAAAAGGAATGAGTCATGGAAATATAACTCCAGCATTATTTTGGGAGGTTGTGGATCTCTGCATGGCTCCTTGGAATATCACTGAGAAACAATTCCACAGTCAGTTAATGGCAGCAAAACCCAGCAAAGCATCTGCCAGGCAGACTCTTGATAGCGTCAGCAACCCCCCTGCTTAAGTCAGGATGTTATTGGCTCTTCAGTTCTTCTAACATATGAGCCAACTTTCAGGATTGTCATGCTTGGCACTATTTCTCATATTAATTCTCTTAAGTTACTGCGTACCAAATCCTGTGGCTGTTAGTGATGAAAATGTCAAAGAAACATGTCCATCCCTTAAGATCCTGCATTAGAGAGGAACAAACTTCTTGTCTGAAGTGTTTAATTTACCTCTCCCCAAAAGCTGCCTTGCTTTGGAGACCAACTCATTCAGACTCGAATCATAACAGTATTGAAGCATGTGCCTACCTTCTACCTGAAGCTGTGTAAAGGATGATTACATAAAATTCAGGTCAACCTACATCTGTCTCTTAGGTATGAAAAAATGTCCATTAAGATGAAACAGAGAGGTGAAAAATGTGGGGTGCAGCACACCTCATTTGGGGCTTTCCACATATCTGTGTCCTGCAAGGCACAAACACGTTGGAGTTAGGAACTTACTCAACTCCTTCACAATGATAAAGGCAATTTTAGGAATTAACTGTTAGCAAGTGGTAAGCATTTACCATTCTGACCTTGCCTGTGAAATCTGTTTTGTGATTAGTCCACAGTGTGTATCCCGTTACTTGGTCATGAACTGAAATTTCTATTCCCCTCTACAAAAAATACTCTTCTGTTAATCTCACCAGCCTGAATACCTTGTGTGATTAAAATGTATTTGCAGATTGTCAGAAAAATCAAACCTTTTGCACTTAAGATGCATTATTTATTCAGGAAAATGAGACAGTGCTTAGGAACTGCTCTCAAGAGTGTAAAAATCATTGTAGCTCATGTTTTGTCTAGATTATAAGAAAACTGGGCATTTCCTATAACTTGATACTCCTTAACTTAAATATTCTACTGCCCAGGTACTCTTCCTACTGATATGCTATCATTGTCTCCTTTTCTACTGACTTTCTAAATGCAGTTTGCTGAACAATATTGTTTTTCAGGAGATGACGCATTCATGGCCTCCGCCACTGTCAGCTATTCACACACCAGGAAAGGCAGAACAAAGCAAGTTTCCCTTCCCAAACAAGGTAAGACATTCAGCATCATGTAGAAACATTCCTCCTGCACCTTAGAATATGTCCTACAAAGCCCTAAGTGAGTGAGGTCTCTGGGCTGAGGTTGTGATGCCCTGGTGATGATCTTCATGTGTGTGTGCCAGTGTTCCCTGTCTTTTCCCTTCTTACAGCCTCAGCAGGGCTACACAGTCTGCATGTCTTGGCAGCAGAATTGATGGGGGTCACAGGTGCCTCACCTCTGGTGGGATGTTCAGATGGGGTGGCCTCTGCTGAGGCTGCTGACTGATACCTTAGGGCACAGACAGCAATGGAAACTCAGGGAGCTCCTGCATCCATTGCTCCTGCATCATTTGGCTTCACCAGCTGAGATGTTGGTTGACCTTTGACCTTTGAGGTCTGAGGAGGCCTTCACTAGTACACTGGCCTCTAGTTGAGCCTGAGGACTGGCCATAATTGTCTGCCACCAGCCTGGCTTCAAAGGGGCAGCTTCACAAGAGAGGCAGTCAACCCAGTGCCATGATGCCCAGAGAGGCCACAGAGGCGTTTGCCACAGAAACATTTGATCCCCCAAGAGACCATAGCCACTAGTCCTGCTGATGCTCCCTTAAAACCAGCCCCACTATTGGATATGTATCCAAGGAAGGATGCAGTGCAGCATGGAAAAGCTCATCAGCACAAGCTTGGGGAAACCACATTATTTATACATGGTAAGTCAGGAGGGAATGAAATCACCTATCTTGTGCAAGAGCCAATAAATTTCACATTGTATCACCATATACTGTGTAGATGTCACAAGCATATTTCATGCAGCCTTCAAGCTTGAAAGATGGTATTGATGCTGTTTATAGTCTTTCTCTTGTTAAAGCAAGCTCGTTTGGCAACTTTTAAGTCCATTCTGCAAAATTTAGTTCAGGGAATAATTATAACTACAAAGCCAAGAAAACTTCATTTGCTTACAGTAAAAAAGGTTTTCTGTGGATGAGAGTGTCATGATTTTGAAATATCAGGGGTGTAAACCAAGACATCTCTAGTATGTTATGAAAGAAAAATAAGGAAATAACTCACTATTTGCTCGTTGAAGGCAGACAAATGACTGAAGATGGTAGGTGAGCTGGAGGTTTGTTAAGTTAGAGTAAGTCCTGTAGGAGAGAGGTGGATCAGCAGCTTACAAGCAGGTGAAGTGCTTGATAAGGATGACAAAGTGAGGTGGTGCTTGTAGTGCTGAATTTCCTGCCACGATTATCACCACACAATTGTTTCTGTGGCACACGTGCAGATGAGCATGGGCAAGGCACCTGTCAGTGGGTCTGTGTGGCCATTGTGAATCCACTTCCTCATAACTAAATGTGTTGTGATAAATACAGGAATAGGAGAACCACAGAGCAGAGAGCAAAGATACGTGAATAATGGTTGATATTGACTTTCTCATCTTCTCTCTGCCTGTTCATCCATCTCTCTGGGAAATTTTCTATTATTCTGAATTGCAGAGCCATTTCAGAGATCTACCATTCATTTTTAAAGACCTTTTTCAAGGCGGCTTCTTTTTTCTTTTGCCAAAGTAAAATTTCCTTTTTTTTTTTTTTTTTTTTTTTTTTTTTTTAAGCTTAGGATGAACAAGATTTCATCTAGCAATAAATAAGCATATGTCTGTACATATAATAACGTCACAACTGTATTGTGGCCTGGGTGGTCTGCATGGCCAGAAATTAGAGTGCTTTGTGTGTGATGGGAAAGAAGTACCTTAAAAAACTCACCAGACTCCTAGAACAATCAGGTATTACTTGCCATAGATTATGTTAATTTTAGACACCACTTCTATTTTAAAATCTTTTAAAATAATTAAAAGCTATTCTGTGGCTTAATCTGGTAATCTGTACAGTTACAGACTATAGAAAGCTTTTCAGGCTCCAAAATGCAAAAAACTAGTTTCCTAATTTTTCAAACATGTTTTTCAAAATTCAGTAAGCTAGCTATTGCTTTTCACAAAGCATGGTGTAAAATCTTTATTGGACCTCATAGGAAATGTTTCCATAGGTCTTGGAAAGCTTTCCTACAGGTAAACTACGTAGCTGTCCCTATTTTTTAAAACCTGAGAGCTTCACCAAACTTAGTGGATCACACATTATTCAGATAAATGGGTCTGTCAGTTAAGTAGTGACCAAGGCCAATAAAGAGACTGAAAGGATAAAATCAGGGCAACAGTTTCATCTCTTAGTTCCAAGTCATGCACAGTTACATTATTTCCTTTTCATTCTTAATGGCAGTGTTGAGACATCAGTCCAATCCGTTGCAGAGACTCTTCCAGAAAGAGAAGCAAGTATGCTGCACCCACTTTTAACAGAAGACAGTTCCCAAACATAAAAATACTCATCATTTTGGGAATAGGAAAAAGAGAAGCTTCTCAGGCTCTTGCCCTGTTACAAGGATGCAAATCATAACTACTTTTCTGTCCATGAAAACTGAGTGTCAGCATCATTAGTTTGCATTCACGCCACACTGCTTTTAACCTGCAATTCAAGTAATTAGCGATCTGACAGCTTGAAACTTGAAATTTATTAATTAGGCTATTAAAGTTGCAAAGGCCACAGCAACTAGAGCTAGAGTGGTTTTGAAATCAGTCTAGTAAAAAAAAGCTAAATATCTGAGATTTATATATCACAAATATAACGGAATTCCACATTTGAAACTGCACATGTGGATGTATCAATCAATATAACTAAATACTCATTTGATGGAGGGGATGGCTGTGCATATGCTGTGCTTCTATATGAAATCAGGCCTCATTAGCATGGGAGGTTTGCATTGATTCACAAGAATGAGAGGAGAGTCTGGGTCAGGTTTGACACACGTGGCAGTGCCCAGTAGGTTTCCAAGTACTGTGCTGCTGGAGAAGCACCACTAGAGACCTGTCCTTTATGTAATGGAGGGCATAAAGTTCCATTTCATCCTTAACTTTGAATTTTCTTTCTCTCTGGTATTAATTTGTACTCTTGAATTTACCAGGAAGGGGCAATGACAGTCTCTTTATTTCTTGTTTTTCAAAGCTTAAGGATAATTGATTGAATGTGTGATGTGACAAACTGTGTGTGCTTTCCTTTCTCCTATCTCTGCCAGACTTTGTTATGTACAAATGATCAGACACTTCTTGATTTTAATTTTATTAAAAGCATCTTAATAAATAAACTTTAAATGAATAATTAAATTTGTAAATAAGAGCTCACTTGATGCTTATGTGGATGGGCTTTCATGTTCACTCTCTTGTGCAGGAAAAAATGCTGTTAATTCTGCTGCCTGCTTTGCTCCCTTTCTTCATTTTTACTGTGATTTCTTGTCTTGATAGTTTGATCAGGTGTTTGATTTCTGATTAGGTATATGTGATATTATGGGATCAGCCATCACTTTGTTATTTGAGAATTAATTTAGCTGCTCCAGGAGAGCTGGTTTCTTGTCACAAAGCTATTGGGTAATTATTCTCAGCAGATGCTAGGTTATCATAGTGATGTTGCTCTTTAGAAGTGCAATTCATTTGTTTTTTCCTTTCTTGTTGGTTTTAACAAGCTGGAGGAAATATGCCGGACAATAATCTTCAGAAATGAAGTCTTCACCTTTTTTATAAAGTTACGTTCTTTTTTTCCTCCATTAGTGGGAACATCCTGTATTTCTCTAGGAGATATTTTTACTAGCCTTTGGCAGAGGCAAGATACTGTGCTCAGTCAAAGGGGAAGGTGCACTCGTCCTGAGGTTCATGAAAAGGTAAAAGAGTGAGCAAGATCCTTGTTTAGAAGTTTCAAATACAATTACTTTTACAAATACAAGGAAATTTCCCTCAAAATTGTATTTCCCTGAACTTCTCCAGGTACATAAATTCTCTGTTTTGGAAACGGAACATGCTCTAAAAGCCTATTTTTATTGGGAGGTGGTTGGCTACAAGAATAGCATTTAAATTCAAGTGTACATACCACTACATCACCGCTGCAAGTTGATCTTGACTTTTTAAGATGGCATTCAGTCACTCAAAAAAAACAGGCTTTAATCTCTCTTCATCAGAAACATTCACAAAAAGCTGATGAGATTTGTCAAAAGTACACAATTTCAGATTACTGAGAAATTATTCTTGGCATGTGAAACATGGTACAGATCTTTTCATATTGCAGTTGATGGTCGAAACTCTTGGGGCATGCCCAAAAATTGGACATCTCACATTACAGGTATGTAGGATGGAAGCAAGTTGCAGATGTGTGTTATGGTATTAAAATTACAGATCAAAGCCATGCAGTCTGGACAGAGCAAAATGTGCAGATCGAGGGATTCTGATCAGCTGAGCACTCAAGAAACCGGGGCCTGCTATCCAGCCAGCCTCTGTTTAGAGGGGCCATGAAGCTCTTGGGTCCCCAAGCCCCTGAGAAATTCTCCTGAGTGACTTAGCATCCCAATCTCAGCCCAACCAAGTCAGAGCATCCTCGGCTCTCTGGGAACCTGCAGTTGCTCTCCCATGAGCTCTGTGCTTGGCTCATCCCTCTGTCTCTGTGGACCTGGATCTGGTCCAGCGCTCAGTTCCTCACTGAAAATGACCCCATGTGTTCCTGTGGCTGCCTGGCCTCTCTGAGCAGTCTTAACTACAGCTGTAACTGCAGCATGGATATGAGGTGGTGTTCCTGTGTGTGCCTGGGTTATTCAGAAGCAGAATTACATATGGGATACTTTTCCTGCTGCCAACCATGGCAAAGAATTATTTTTTTTCCTTTATTTAATTATTGCTTTTGTTATGGTTTATAGTTGTATTTATAGGCTTTTTTAATATATCTTTTTATGAATGCAAAAAAATTCTGTGAGTAAAACACAGTGAGGTAACATTTGCACTTGAGGTAAAAGTGATCTGATTTATTGCACCACATTCATAGATATTGCTGTTGTCATACAGGATCGACCTTGTAATCTCAGGGACCCAGTGGATTTTCATTTTCTGATGCTGTCAATGTCAACATGTGAAAAGACCAGCTGTGCTACTACCCCAGGAATCCAATGGTCCATGAAACAATATATTGGCCTTCTCTCTGTCTTCTCGTCTGAACTTGTAGAAGATAATAGACGAGTTTTGGCTGATCAATACATGAATAGTGAGCAGGAGAGTCATAATAGCTGTACAAGGAATTGCATCATTAAAAGGTTGTTTTGAAATAAGTTTACAAGCCTAATAATTAATGGATTTTCCAATAAATATTGGACTTATTCTTGTAAATGAAAATTACTTTGAAACCAAATGGACAATCATTAGTGATGTTTGTACTGTTAAGGTTATGTCAAGCAAGTATTGCAGCAAAAAAATGCTGAAAAAATAATACACCTTCCTTTTTTTTCTGTTATCACTGTAGGAGTCACAACAGGGATCTACAGGACACAGCAATACAAGTAAGTACCAGCTCATTTTCTGCCTTCATTGGGTGGAAGGGTAGACAATGACTTAGAAAAAGAAGTGACTGATGAAGTAATGGATCAGTGGGAGACTGGAACAGCACAAAGCCTTAGCAGGCAGAACTCAGCTATGGACAAATATGGAGAAATGAAGAGTGACCATCAGAATGTCAGCTCTTTTGGTGGCCTGGGAAGAACAAAAAGTTTTCATTTCACTATGGCTATTCCATTATGTAAATGAGAAAGACTGAAAAGAGCAAAAGAGTGGTTTTTTTGGAAAGCCAGAAAAAAGCTGACCTACTTGTACAGTGAGATGCAGGCTGCCAGAACATTGTGCAAGAAAACTTGTAATCATTTATCTTTCATAGGCAATGGTATATTTTGTGGCCATTGCACAGTAATAAGCTGCATAAATCCTGCCAAACTAACACTAGATAACATTTCAAAGACCCTATAGCTGTGAGTCTTTTTAGTTGGCAGTGTGGGTAGGGCAGTGATGGGTGCCTGTGTGGCTCCTGCTCAGGTCTTTCCAGTGGACTCCAGTTTACAAGTCATGGTGCACATCAGTAGCACTTTAATTACATTTAACTATGGTAAAAAAACTTAGCATCTGTATTGAACAGGAAGATTGAATTGTTCTGCAAAACAAAATATTAATCCTCTCCTTTGACACCTCTGATGGTTGTTGATGGTGTCTTGCATATTAAAAATACATGATTCTATCCCGCTTTCCACATAAATCATCACAACCAAAAGAATTATTTTGCTAACTTCCTGACCTGTCAGCAAACACAAAGCCCAGTTTGCAAATTGCAGGGCTGTGACTGAAGGTGAAAAATGCCCTGAGCTTGTAGATAAGACTTTGAAAGGGTCTGTTCACCCACTATGTGAGGGAAAAGACATCCAGAGAGACAAGGCTGGGATATGCAGGCTTTTAAAATGTTGTGGCTCTTCACTGGGGACAGGTCAGCATGAGGAAGACAACGTTGTGAAGAAACATGCAGTGATGTCACTTAATTGGTTTGATATTGCTGCAAGTACCAGCACTAAGGAAATAACAAAAGGCAAAGGGTATGAGGTTCTGTCAGAAAATAATGAATACAGTAATGAGAGAAAGAAGCACAAAAGAACCATAATAGAGAGGGCTATGCAAACACAGGCAGAGGCACAAGCATGACAAACACACCGGCTGAGCTGAGGGCGTTGCAATGACAGCAGAGGACACAGTATTTAGCCAGCTTTGGGCCTAGCTGAGTATTTCCTTCTTCCAACACTTGAATAAAATAGGTTGTTCTGCAGATTTAATGAAACCTGCATTCCTTTGTATTACAAAATGAATCCTATGACCTTACAACTTTTCCCTGCTTCTTATTCCTGTGGTCTCTGACCCCACTTCATTTCTTATTCTCCCATCCCTCCTACACTCCCATACTCCAGTTTCTCCTCTCTTCAATCATCCTGCTCAGTAAAATCTGCAGCTGGGCAGAAGCTACACTTGGTACTGCCTAGCTGATGGCAACCAAACTGAAGAACAGCTGGACCCATGCAGAAATATTTTCTTTATTGGTGGCAAAAGTCAGGGTCACTGTTGGATGCTCAGACACATTTTCTAACATCACAGAGTTTGACTACCTCTGAGAGCTGTATCCATGAGAATTCCAGGTGAAGTGCTGGAATAAGATATCAGATAAAACACTGTTAGAATGAGATATAGAGCTTACCAGTCATGTATGTCAAACTTAAAGGAAATCTGGGAAAAAATTATTCAGATGTGTGGTGGGTTGAACCTGAGTGGACACCATGTGCCCATCAAAGCTGCTCTATTACTGTCCTGGACACAGGAGAGAAAATACAACAAATCATGGATGGAGATAAAAACAGGGAGACAGCACTCACCAATTACTGTAATGGGCAAAACAGACTCTACTTGAGAAAATAAATTTAACTTATCACCAGTCAAATCAGCATAGGACAATGAGAAATAAAATCAGACCTTAAAAGCACCTTCTCCTCACCCATCTCTTCATCCTGGGCTCAACTTCACTCCCAAATTCTCTACCTCCTCCCCACCAGCAGTGCAGGGGACCAATGAATGGGGGCTGCAGTCAGGAAATCAAATTGCACCTTGTCTCTGACACTCCCTCCTCAGGGAGGGGACACCTCTCTGCTCTGGTGTGTGGCCCCTCCCACAGGAGACAATCCTTCCTTAAATTTTCATGAGCCCTTTCCACAGGCTTTGCTTCTCATAAACTGCTTCAGCTTGGGTCCCCATCCACAGGGTGCAGTCCTTCAGGAACAGGCTGCTCCAGCATGGGTCCCACACAGGGTCACAGGTCCTGCCAGCAAACCTCCTCCAGTGTGGGCTCCTCTCTCCATGGGTCCACAGATCCTGCCAGGAAATATTAGCAAATTATTCTATGAGAAACAACTCTAATGGTCAATGTATTGTGTTATCCAAGAGCACATCTTCAGAGTCCCAATTAGCTATTTTATTCCCATTGCTCCCTGACTTCTTTGGAGTGGCTCTTGAGCCTGTCATCTGCAGTGGTTTTACTGCAGCTGCCAACATTGTCTTTCTCATGGATAGCATTTGCATTTCTGTCATCCTTCCCCCACAAGGAAATCAAAGCATTTAAAAACTCTTAATGGCTGAAATTACACTATTCCTTCATAATAAATATCATTCATCCCTGTTACCCAGAAAGGGAAACTTAATCTGGTTGAGTGATCCACCAAAATTCCAACTAAGAGGAGAAAACTCCTTTTCTGGCCACCCACTATTCAATAGGGGAAATCCTACAAAAGTTCATTTGAAATTTATTTTGAAATTTGAGAAATCTGGACACATCTTCTGCTTGAATCTAAAAAGGTTGGGTAAGACATTTGATGAGATGAGGCAGAAACTAGCAACGACCTCCCAATTCTGTGACTAAGGATCTGTGGATCGACTATTTCCACTGTGTGTTTTCTGCATAGACTGATGCACATCTGTTTCAGGAGACATACACGGTGCTTAGCATCTGAAACAAAGTGTGCTAACAGCAATCCCATAGCAAGGTGGGTAGCGTGTTCTTTGTTAATTCCAAAAAGACTAAGAAAAACAAAGGTTCACAAAAATTTGCCCATAAGAAGCAGTCAAAACTAGAGAAGATTTAGCAGTTCAGCAAATGCCAGCCTCCCTCAATGGTACCTGCATGCATTTGACAGGTTACATGAAAAAATCTAAAGCAAATCTTAATTTGGTTGAGTGATTCACCAAAATTCCAATACCTTTTACATACCCTTATCCAAAAATATTATCTGTACTGTATCTGTGACATTCAGCTGTGCTTAGGCTATACTCATTTGTAAAATTTCTATGATTCAGTCAAGTGAGAATGAAGTTGGTAAGAACTGATAAAGCATTAATGGCCAGATTTTCTACTCTGATAGGCTGGACTGATGCAGTTCTACCATCTGTACAGGCTCCGTCCTTCCTCTCCACACAGAAGTATGCTAAGTGACAATTAGCATAAAAGCAGCTACAAATGCTTATGGTAGGGTAATCCATTAATATCCAGTTTGGCTAAATCGCAGACATTCTGTTTCCTCACAGTACGTATGCTGTTTCCCTTGTTGCTGCATTAACATGCATTGCTGAAAGTAGAACTGATGTGAACTCTGCTGGCAAAGCACTCAGGAATCCATATTCCCTTTCACACTCAAACAAACCAGTGTTCATGGTAATAATTCATCACTTAGAGAAGACCCAAGTTACAAATAGAAAATCTTTGAATATATGCCAACTGTTACTGTTGGTTTCTTGTTCCAAATTACCATAATGCAGATGAGCTCCAGGGCTCCAGGCTCCGGAAGGCTGACAAAAGTATATTGTAGCAACAGCTTCCTAGCCAGCAAGTTCACCATCTGGATATACTTTCTAAGGTCTCTGCTGAAAGTGAAGGGTGCCCTAGAGATTATGGAGTGGATATATTCCATCCTGTGTAGATGCCCTGCTCATGCCTAAATTTTAGGTGGCTTTAGCTGTCCTCTTACAGTGAATGCTGAGCTTCCCTAGACGTCCATGAAGGCATTGGTGGTATTGAAGCCATCCAGAGTCTTACCCATCCTGTTCAGTAAAGTGTAGACACCTCAGCTGAATAGACACAAACCCTACCAGAGGGGAGGATGACATCTAAAAGCACTATGTCAAGGTGTTCAAGATACCCAGAACTACCACTACGGGACAGCTACCTCCAGAAGGTCACTATCTAGAGTGTCCTTGAGCTTTCTTCTGTACTGCAGTGGAAGAACACTGGTTGCAGAATCCTGCCTTTCTGAAGGCAACAGCAAGTTTTCCAGAGGTGCCTTTACAGCTGCTGCTCTGTGGAAACTGAGGGTAAGGTCTTTGTCAGCAGCAAACGGATGATGCGTAATGCTCATGTGCATGGACTAGGTCGGGACTGATTCCAAAACCCACTCAGCTCAATGAACAGGACATCAGGCAACACCAAAACAACCCATCCAAAAGAAGAATTTCTCACATTTTTTTCAGAAGGAATAGGTGGATTTTGGCTTAACACAGCTCATTATAGGGTAATGGAGAAAAAAACATCCATCAGTAAACCAGTCACATTCAACCTCTGCGCCTCCTTGTCTGCTAGGCAACATAAACTCATGTGAAGACAGCTATTAGCATCCAGCGACACACAAGAGCAACAGCATCTGCACACTCACTAGGCCCAAAATTCAAGTTCAAGGTCATTCAAGTGAAGTAGCATACCCTCTAAATCCACGGTATAGCTACACAGAAATCTTACACTGGAGTGCAGCTCTCTCAGATTACTCAGAGAACATTAATTACAGCAAATAACATCAGCCTTACTGTTTTTTGGCAGGGGTAGAAAGGACCGTGCCTGACTCAGGAGAAGCAACACCACCCCACCTGCTAACACTCTCTATGCTATGTAACTAAGTTGTGTTGGGCAGATACATTATTTTGGACCCAAGATGGGGATCATCACAGGCTAGCATACCAGGACCCATATGATTCATAAGGAAATGTGAAGAGGCACCCCTTGGGCCTCTGGTGCCTCTCAAGCATTTGTGTATTTGGCTTCTCCTGGCACTGAGTGCCTAAGCCAGCATAGCAGAGAGGGCTTCCCCAGCCCCCATGTACAGAAGCTAAAGCTCAAATCCTTAACGTGACAAAATGAATGTGAACCAAAATACCCATTGGCAGAACTGTGCCCTGATCACTGCCTTCCTCTCTCGGCTGATGCTGTTTTGTTTTGTATTAGACAATTGCTGTTCCTGGAGCAGGGTTCTGGAGCAAGTGCATGTTGTATGGAGTACAATCTCAACAGCAGAGCTCTAGGGCCCTAGAGAAATCCTTTTCATTGTTCCAAGGTCTGGTCTCCCTGGTAAAGCCTGTGTTCTCTAAGCTTCTCCTCTTGTGGAGTTTCTCTGCCTACATTTACGGAGCACTTGTCAGTGACAAGGAAAGTCAAGTCAGGATTGACTGCCTGCTTGCAAATGCTCCAGCAGTGCCCCTGCAGCCCTGTGGTTGCCTCCACAGCTGTCTGTGTGTGTGTGGCAGGAGTGGTCAGTGTTAGCAATGAATAAAGCATTGATGACTCACATCTGAGCAGTTTTTTTACCCATTTCTGATGTCATTTTCTTCTTCTCTTTTAAAGGGAAAAGTGATGTAGAGCCAAAGACCCCAGAGAAAAGCGCAACCCATACATCGTAAGTCACATTTGCGTTTAAGATTGGAGAAGGCAGCTGTGTTTTTATCAGATTTGTTGGGCAAAATAGAATTTGTTTGTTTTCATTAAGATAAAGCTCTTTCACTGATGCTTTTCGTAAAACGGCTTTTTAGATAATGACTAAACATTAATTATTCCTAGAACTTCTGCATGCTAGTAAGTCAGCAATCTTTGCAAGTGAAATGGCTCCATATCACACTGAATAGATATGAGATTATTTTTGTGGGTGTGCAAGGCTGGCCTTTAGAACCTTACTTCAACATTACCTTAATGCTGCTGGAGTTTGTCACACTTGCTAAAAAACATCATGTCACATATGCCTTTGATGTACTGATGTAATTTTAAAAGACTGCAGTCTGCAGCTTCACCTCTGAATTACTTGAAATCCAATTACAGTTATCTCTGGTCTCTCACGATTTTGTTGATGTTTTTGAATTAACGAAAGAAGTCAAGAAATAGATAGGAACAGGCACTTGTAATATATCAGTGTTCACCTTCACTTTAGTGCAACAATAGAACCTTTTACCATTTTTTACTCTGGTATACAAAAGACTGAATTGTTTTGCCCACATAAACCAGTCTATGAAACAGATAGGCTGCAAGTTAAAAAAATTTAAAAATAGCATCAGTCTTCCAAACTAAGCAAGATAAGTTAATTCTTTTAATAACTACCAGACAGAAGCATTATGAATTTCTGCAAAATCATTCACCTTTTTAATTCCATTTGAGAGAGAGAAGTTCTTCTAACAGTCAGTCATGTGAGTTTTAAAGTGCATCTGGCCCATAATTTATGTTTTCTGATTCCTGTTATTTAAATTCAGAGCATTATATCATGTAAATCTCACAAGGTGTCACCATTTGTTACATGGCCAAAAGTAGTCACAGAAGGAGGTACAATAACAGTGATTTATGGTGGGACATTTTGATTTCTGCTGCAAATACGCATTAAAAATCTTCTGGAAATTAATCTGGAAAAAGATTTGACACGGTGTAAGAAATGGCTTGTCCTGCAGATTGTGTTGTGGAATGTAATTATAGTATGCAAGCGCATTTAGGCAAACTTATTAAATGAATTAAGCATTAGCAACCTTATGCCTTCTGATAGCATGATTGCTGGGAACATTTAATAGAATGATTTCAATAATTATCATTTTTAAAAATAATATTGCAATAAAGAGCAAAAGAAGAAGGGTTTTAATGCCATCTGGAGGTATTTTGGAGAAATGAACACATTTATTTTTACTGATATTTAGCAATATGTAAACCATAAGCCATCCTCCACAGTGTTTTTTCTAGTTAGTATTTTATTGATAAGGAATGTTCTTTTCTTCTTCATTGGATTAAAAACTGTAAGATTTCTGAACCACAATAGTGGTATTTCTAAAACCAAATCATGGGTTCAGAGGTACACCCCCATATAGTTATGGTCTGGATTTGAGACTACATACTGGGTGATATAGTGTGTCAGAATCATGGTAGGTGTGAAAGGTTTCTTGCCTAATAAGAGATCTTGGTACATTCTGAAACTGTGCTGTCTACTAGATACAGTATATTTCTAATGCTTATCTTTAAATTATTACTATATTCTAAGGCTACCCCACTGCATACATTGGTTCCCAGAAAAAAATTTTAGAGGCAGAAACAACTTGTTACTGTCGATAAGTTAATGCATCCAGGAACCAGAGGTCCCTCTAGTTAGCAAAATTCCATAGAAATGGAGGCAAGAGAAAAAAGAGGAGATGAGAAGAAGGGAGCTAACAAGTGCTGTGTCAAGAGAGAAGGAAGAAAGTTAGAGAGATACAGTTAAGAAGTTGGAAAAGGAATTGCAAACATCAAGTTTTCAGAACAAGATACAAAACTGGGAACAGTAGAAAAGAAAATCAGTGATCAGAAACTGAAGACAAGTAAAAGCCATTAGCAAACTAAAGATGTACATGTTACTCAATAGAGGGCTGGATCTGTGAGTGTTAGGAAAGGAAAGTAACTCACACTGATACGTAGGCAGACACCAATGCCCCAGTTCTCTTTATGCTACTCTGCTGTTGGCCTTTTCTAGGTTTCTTCTCTTTTCCACCATTTTCTAGGACAGCTTTTTATCCCTGCTATCTCAGGCAGTCATGAATACAGAACTCCTTTGCTCTTTTGGGGCTGCAGCAACTCGTACCTGTGCATGCAGTGCGCAGCCAGAGAACCTGCGGTGCACACCTGCACATGAACCTGTGAGCCTGTGTGCCTGGTCTCCCTGCAGATGGATGTTCTCTTCCCTAATGCACGTGGAGATGACCACGCCTGGGCAAGAGCTCCAGCTGGAAGCCTCAGGGGTATGTGGGTAGCATGAATGCTGCCAGGGGTCCCTGTAGGTAAAAAGGCTGTACCCTCTTGCAAGGTGTCACTCCTCTCAGAGTGTCAAAGGAGCCCAGTTGGCATCTCCTAGCAGGGGTGCTAAAAAGGAGCAACATTGATGTAGGAGAGAGATGGCACTTTCAGGCCTGACAAGGAGAAACTGTGGATGCACCTCTCTGTGAATCAGCGTTTCCCTGTGAAAATGGAACAAACAGCAACAAAAAAGCCCCCCACAAAGTCATTTTTGCCTAGAGGAAAACTACAGAAATGATAGGGAGGTTTAAATTAATGTTTTTTTTCTTGAAAAGGTCTTTTTTATTTTCCTCAGGCATGTTGCAAGCCTCACACTCTAGCCAAGCGTATATGATTCAATGGCAGTTAATTCATCCCTGGTGCAGATATACTACCTCTATCCAAACATTATTTATGCAGCTTCAAAGGACAGGTTGATTACCCTCCTGAATCAGGCAGTGAGGCATTTGTGAACCAAGCATTAACATGACATCTCCCCTCAAGATAACTCTTGTGCATTGCCCACTGGGCTCCTGGTCCTCAAAAACAAACATAACCCTGAGACCTGGAGCCCCAGGACCAGAGGTGCTATCTGTAACCTCCACGGGTACAGAAAATGAGAGTAGTGCTCTGTTCAGAGGCTTTGGGTACAGGAATCATTTGGAACAGCATTATGCATAGGGGCTTTTCCTGTATATCTAATTCCCAAGATAGACTCATTGCGACATAGCCCTCCACTAATAATAATATTAAACATTAAAAAAATAGTAGGCATTAGATGATGCATATTAATTGATGCAGCATCCTAATGAGGCAGATGAATAAGGGCAGTTATTGCAATGCTAAGGATAACAGAGATGGATTTAGGAGAATAAGACTTACGGAAAAGCAGGAGGGAAATCTAAGCAGAGCTGTATCATTTTGCACAATATTCCTATGGCTTTCACGGCCTTGGCATTCACAATAATCACCTGAGCTGGCACTAAAGAATTGCAATAAAAGGTGCAAACAATACAGAAGTGTTAAGCTGTCTGGAGTCTTCCCCAGTTGATTCATGTTCCTTGTAATTGAATGCTTTTAAAGCCATGAGCATTCTGTACTTGAAGGGGTTTTGTTGTCATTGTATTCAATATATATAGCTCTCTATGGGTCATATGGTTATAGCTTTGCTGAGAATTTCCAAACTTTTAGGACTGATCAGAAATATCTAGTGATGTTTTGTTCTTTTGGTTTTGTGATCAGAGGGTCAATTTTCAAGGGTCACAAAACTTTCACAAATTTTGTTTAAAACATCTGATTTTTATTAAAATCCTCCCCTTCCCCCCCCCGCCTTCCCCCCCTCCCCCCCCATTTTTTCCACCAGAGTCTGGAGAGCTGCATTAATGCATGGGTATGGATAAAGGAAGATTGGTCTTTGGTTCTTTGATATTTGCAGTTACACTATTTTAGTCTTTCTTTGACAGATCTGTGTCAAGGGCCTTTCATTAAGCCTCAGATTGTTGTAATTAAAGCTTTTAATTTTATAAAGCTTCTGTGCAAGGCAAAGTGATTCCAACCACTGCATATGTTTCAGAGGACCTTGCAGGGCCACATAAACTCCTCCCTGTGCCAGGGATCTGGGATCTTCCATCTTCCCACATGCAAATATGACAATAATTTAAAAATGCCAAATATACAAAGCACTCAGCGTGACTCCTGCTCTTGGAATGACTTTCAATGTACTGTCTGTTGCGATGTTCTTCAGCACCTTTGTGTTTGTAAATGATTTCCAGTTCAGACTACCCAAGGTTAATCATGCCTGACTGTGATTCACTGCTATGCATTTACCTCGACATTTCTAGTGCACTTACTTAATGATATCAGGGCTAGCAACTAGATACCTCAGTGCTGTCTCTTTATTAACCCTCCCACAATTGTTTTCATGCTGAGCTGCTCCAGATTTTTCCCTCCCTTTTTACAAGAGAATTAACTAAGATTGAGGGAGGCTTTTACAATTTATGGCAGTTGTGCAGGTTTTGTCCTTTGCTAATACTCTCTGAGAATCACGGTGATCACTGTGTGTGTGTGTGTGTGTGTGTGTGTGTATGTGTTTGTGTATGTGTGTGTGTGTTGGCTTGTTTGCTTTTGCCAGGCAGAAATAGATGTTGGCTCTGTTCCCTTCCTGTACTGGTCCCCAGCACCATGTGCAGAATGGTTTGCTCAGGGGGATCTTCATTAACAGTGCTAAAGTCAGCAGCTTCTAGGCTGCCCATTTGCAGACATTAGTGTTACAATTTCTTGCCCATCCAACACCTGCTCATCATTCTTACCACCCTGATTCTCCTTCAGGAAGGAAACATCATGTTGGAGCAACACGTTGTGATGCATCTTTCTTCCTCTCTTGTCTTGCCCTTTGTATCTTTGGAGTGGCTTGCAGGTAGTTATTCAACAGCTAAAATCACCTGCTGGTTTCCCCCTTTGCAGGGGGAAGCAGGAGGCAGAGGGGTTACAAGGTGCCTGTAGAGAGCAGAGAGATTCAGTCTCAAATACAGATGATCAGTTTGAGCAAGTGCTGCCAGCTCACCATCCAGCTCTTAGCCCTCAGGGAGCTTCTCCTCTCACATCTGCTGACATGTGGTCTTGACC